TAAAATTTAAACGATATATTTAATGGTGATTTTGAACATTAATCAAAAGTCTAAAATATGTAAATTCACTCAGTCTGCTTGTCTGTCAACACAGCGAATCGGGTTTATAGTAGTGATAATACGACGTAATTGCTTGTATGTGTGCTCCCTGCGATGCCGATTCTCGTACAAAATAAGGTTGACAGCCATTCTATTGTGTTACGACATATCGTGCCGTGGGTGTCGTAAGAAGCGACAGAGGGAAACAAATTAGCAGATGGACAGCGGCATCTTCCTAACAACGTCTGAAAATACTGCAGTTGCCAACCCGCTTGCCAGGTGTGGTAACTATGGCCCTGTATATCCCCTTTGAGGTAATCCATGGGGGAGGCCTATGTTCAGTAGTGGATTTCAGTATGCTGTAACGATAACGGTATTTATAAAGGAATCTTTCTTTTAACACTTGCGACTGAATTAGAAAGGCGAAATATAGTCTTTCATATTTTATTTTTTCATCAGTCTATAGAAGACCACGACTGGACATGGGCTTCTCCTGTTGTGGGGGAATATGCCTTAATAGTCATGATTAGCAGGTGGATTAATGATCGCAGCAGGCACGTTTAACGTTGCTGTCGGTTGTCGCTTTTGGTATTTACGTGGGTATATTTGGTTGTTCTCATAAAACTTACGTACTCAAAGAGGCTGCGTATGAAAATGTATGTAAAGAATGTATATGTGTAGGTACACGAGAACATTTAAACACTTTACAACTGTTTAACTTTATTTGCACTTGACAAATATGAAAATATGATCACCATATTGTTCCTGTCATACGTACATAAATACTTTATATTTCTAAACATTATTTTTTTTATTCTAAATAATTGGTAGTTTTTTTAAATGCCTTAATTTAAATTATATTAGCTTGTTTGGTAACGTTGTTCGGCCCTTTCCAGTGGTAGCGTAATGAGTCTCATCATGGACTTTTTGTAGTGTAAATATAAAATTTATTTTTGGATCCTAGCAAAGCTATATTCTATCGTATCGACAAAAATCAGTGAATACGTACAGAATTGGTCAACTCCTTCAGAAGCTTCATGAACACTAATAGACGCACAAACGATTATATAATATATAAAGAGTAGTACAGATACATCTGATACGTTACCCAACAATATTTAACTTAGTTTTAAGAGAAAAATGTTTCGCAAGATGATGCTGTGACCAGGATAAAGAAAGAAATGCTGCGGTGGTTTGGTCGTGTAGAAATAATGAACTCTGTAGTCTCTGCCTACCTCTCTGGGTGACAGGCGTATGTGTTTATGATATACTAAATAATTTGACCTACAGCATTGCGGATACTAACAAATACATTCATTACAAGCAATTTTAGGAATGACTTAGTGGATTATTATGTTATTTCTGTTGAATTAAAAGTACCACGAGCCTTTTTCGTAAAGGTTAAGGAAGGTTAGCAGCACAATACTTCTGTGTTTGTACTGTGAGTGACAAGACAAGTGTTTTTAACGATAGGATCAATAACAATAAGTTTTTCTCCCGTAACGTGGTTAGTAGTTCTGTATCGTAGTCTACATACATAAATTGCATAAGGACAAACATCCAGACACATGTGAATGACAGAGTCGGGAAGAGACGCCCTAGACGAAAGTTTATCGACCAAATTGGCGATATTTTCAAAATGGGCCACATTAGGAGTACCCTTAACCGACGAACGTGTATGTGTAAATATATAGATGTAAAGGAGACGAGAGAGGTATGTCAGGATCGTGCCAAATGGAAGTCCCTAGTCTCTGACTGCCCCTCTGGATGGCAGGCGTGAGTGTTTATAAATGAAAACATCCAGCATCAGAAAAATTATTCGTAGGCCTTGCAAATATCTGTTCCATGAGGAATTCAAACTCGCCACGGAGCCCTCAATTCATTTTAAGCTTGCCATCAATTTCAATTTAATGCTTTTGTGTAAATTGGTTTATTTTTTTTGTATCTTAACTGTCCTGGGACCTTATCGAAAAATCCGTAAACGAAATTGCGCACGTGTCAGTTTACGGTTTCATAAAATAGATGTCGCTGTAAATATGAAAAGGTTTGAAATTAAAAAATGTATTTAATTCTCACTACTAAACCACAAAAATGTCTTAATATTAAACTTAATAGCTATTAAACAAGAATGGTTGTGGATCGCTGGTGCCTGAAATATAATTCTTGGTTGGGTACAAAATTCTCTACGGGTACAAATCTATATTTTCACAGTATACAGAACATATATGTAATTTGCCAACATGTGTCTTTACATCCAATTATAATGTAGGTGTCTTCAAGGCAAGAGTGAATAGGCTTTTGTTAAGCTAAGGCAGTGTGCTTTACCATCATCGGTTGCATCAACACTTACCATCAGGTGTAATAGTAGTCAAGTTCTGGCTGATAATAGGGTACGTGAGGGTAATATGGCAAACCCTAAGCTTTGCAGCTTTATAAAACCAAAACTAGAAGGAGGACAGAGGCATAAACACAAAGTAGTACACCTTAAATATAGACAATCAAATTTAAGAAATACCTTTTGACGTTTCACATTAATCATTCCGCAATAACTTTGTACAAGCATACTCACACGATTTAAAATAACTATTTACGTAAATCCGAAAAATTATGAAGTTATCTATATTCCATTACAATGTGTATAGTTTTTTATCACTAATTTAAATTCGAATCTTTCAGACAAAGCAATATATATATTAAGAAATTACTAGTATCAACTATTTTACTTGACGTCGTTTCAATAATATGTCGCTATTTACCGAACCGTAGTGTATAGACGATTAAAATTCATTGTTATGCGAATAATCGGCAAAAATATTCAAATAATCGAATCATTAATTTTTTAATGTATTATTTGTTTAACAAAATTTTTATTTTTAAAATTATTCAAATTACATGAATCATGAATAAAACAAGTTATTTTTTTACTACGTGAACGCAAATTTGTGTAGGCAAAAAACTCATATTCAAGTCCGCGCTGAAAAAACCACTACGTAATTTCAATCTCCGACCATTTCGAGAGCTGTGCGTAATTTTGTGATTTTGTGTTTGTCTTCTTATTTTGTGACTCGGCTTTAATTTTTTAGACTGTTTCTTCTACATATATTCGTTGAAGTATGTGCCCATGTCACAAAGGATGATTGGGCAAAAGTGGTAGAAAAACCAAAAAAAATTGATTATAGATGACTTTGAAAGAGACATTAATTTTGACTGCACTATTGAAAATCAAATAACAATTAATCTAAACAATGACAGCTGAACTAATTGTACTGAAAGTGATTGAATAAATTTATTTTTAATCTAGATTCAATCTTAAATTTTTATAACTTTGCTTTTAGAAATAAGCAGTAACAACAAATACGAAGAAATTGATAAATATTGTGTTTTAAATTATCTGTTTTTAATTTATTTTGTTATTATACAAACCAAACAGTAAATGATTACCAACTCTAAATAATCTATATCGATTAAGAATCGAATATTTTACGTTCCCATTTTTTGTTGGCATGCTTGGCGCAATAAGTATAACAGCTGTCAAAACCTATTTCTTAGAAATCTAAGAAATAGGTTTTGACAGCTGTTATACTTATAGTATATTAGTTGACTATAATATATTTAAAAAAAAACAGAAAAGCTTTGGCAACAATTATGAACACTTCGAGAATGCAACTTAAAAAAACTAACTAACTACACCATAGTGAAATTGACTAAAATATTTACTATAATGACAACTGTAAAAATAACGTCGATAAAGCAGCGCTCTTTTTACTTGATTGACTGATGAAGAGCTATTGTATCACAAAGCCATATTACCCTCAGGTACTATAGTCAAAAAAATCTTGCAGTAGTATGCTTGGGTAAGGATTTAATTTTATTAATCATAGGGACCCCAAGCAGGTTACTATACACAGCCATCTTCTCTTTTGAAATTAAGATGTTCGTTTTAAGTTCAATAGCCTAACGAATCATTCTTGGTAGGAATTGGTGTTTTTTTATAGGATTTAGATTAAATCTAGTGTAACGTAACGATTTTTAACATGTTAAGATATTGCAGACTTCCCGAAGCGTTGGTGCTTCACATAAGCGATATGTTCTTTTACGCGGGTTTTTATGGATTTTTTGTCCTATGTATAAGAGACCACATTCAGAAACCAAGTTTGTTTATGCCTGCGTTCTGTAGAGAAGTGTTGACATTTGACGGATGGTAAGAACTGACTAATCTTTTTCAGCGGCTTGTAATATATTCTTATGGAAGCTCGCTTCAAGATGTAGCCCGTGACCATGGTGCTGTATATTGCCCGAAACATCGGGAATCATAAAAGTTAAAATTAAACGCAATACATCCAGAAAAATTTGTTTTATCAAGCATCGTTATTTATTTCGATATTCGTCATTAAAGCTTACGATTTAAAATAAAACCAGTTCGAATACGAGTTGGTTCGCTTAATTTACATGGCCTAAAAGCACGATAGAAATCTTGTTTTTGATTGCCAACTTTGATATTGAATTATAGTTTCTTTTTTTTTGAGGTCATTCAATGACTAATCGGATATATGATTAAACAAAATTCGTGAGCAAAATCAATTTACGAGAACACTTATATTCAGGATTTAAAGAATAATTTATAATCATGTTGCACACTATTAACCAAACAAGCCTATTTAGAAATAGCTTATTAGTGTTTAACCTCATTCTGTTTTCCATTTATCATCCATAAATCCCTTAATGTTATAATAATCCTCTTTTATGCAGTTTTTGTTGAATAAAGTTTTTGAACTTGGCGGTGGGAATTTTTATATTTATTGACATTTCATTGTAAAAACGTATGTGTATGTACATTGCCCCAAGAACGAATTACTCTGTGAAGTCTAGCAGCTGGTACTATTACTATTAGCTTGTGTATATTCCTAGTAGGTATTTACAAAATAAATATTATTATTAAAGTAGATCATTATGATTTCCAGGTGGAGACAGGCCGTGAAGAGCTTAAGAAAGAACGGGAGATAATGCAGTTGGTGGCAGGTCTGCAGCTTAGTTCAGACGAGCTAGAACGTCGCGAAGTGCCACCGCATATGCTGAGATCTAGGCACGCACCTAGGTAATTACTTGAACACTACGTACATGTATATGTGTAGAGCAAAGAATGACTGTAGAAAAATATTTTATATTTGTCTATTCATTTATATAACGAAGAAAAAACTGAGAAAGAATGATTTGTTTTGTAACACATTGCTTGCTTACAACTTTTTAATTTATATAACATACTAGCGATCCGCCGGGTTTCGCACGGGTGATTTTTCGATTTTGACAATATATGCATGTATTTTACATATAAACCTTCCTCTTAAATCATCCTGTCTATTGATGAAAACCGTATCAAAAGCCGTTGCGTAGTTCAAAAGATCTAAGAGTACAGACGGCGGGAAGCGACTTTGTTTTATACTATCTAGATATTAGTTCGAGAAAATGGTCACCAAAATATGTGTACTAGTAATTGATAGCTCCAATAAATATAGTACAATAAAAGTTATGACGTGCACTATAACATAACAACGCCGGATGCCGCCAAACTCATGCGGTCGGATAACAAAACGTGGTTTTCAACCGGCTTCAAAAAAAAAGGGGGAGGTTGGTAATTCGACTGTATTTTTTTATTTTATTTGATTTTGATGATTCTTTTTTATTTTAAAGCTGTTGCTTTTATGTGGTCTCATATAAATTTGATCAATATCTGATCAGTCGTTTTTGAGTTATCCTATTATTTTTATTATTATTTAATTGACTTAGACTACGTTCTCATTTTATTGTTTATGTTTATTAATGTGGGTTGTACAATATTTTTAGTTTTACCACCTGTCACGGTCTTAGTTAATGTTTAAACATATAAAAAGAATATTAATAGTATCCATTTATAGTATTATAGTTCGAATGCTGTGTCGCTGTTATAGGAAAATCGGTCTACCGTTAATGAAAGTAATTTTAAGAAATTAATTGCGGAATGTGAATAAAGGTTTCTTAATTTTTACATAGTACATCTACTCTTTTTTACATTTAAATATATAAAGATTTAATTAATTAAAAGGCTACAATATTATTTTTATTTACATATAATATTAAAAAAAAAAACTATAATGAAGAACAATTAAAACTAAAAATTTAAATTGTCGTAAAGCCCTGCTCCCGGTGGTATCGTGCCAAGAACGCTGGCTGCGTTTCCTCGCTGAATAGCTATAATTATCCTTTGAGCGAGAAAATAAGCAGCACAAAAAAGGTGAGAAGCGCTTAGCACAATATTGCTAAGACGCCGAGTGTGCTATTTGATAGATTTAATGGTCTTTTTTAAGCATTTAATCTGTGTAGTGTTGAGTTGGTAGTTGGGCTCTTATTTCGACTAAGCCTTCGTCGTAGTAGCTATTTTCCTCTTGCATATTTTTTCTGCCAACAATGTTTATTTTTTTCTTCTTATGTTTTTAATTCAAGGGAGTAAAATGTTGGACTGCTCTTTTATTGTACATGCTATCCCTATTGCTACATGCTATCAACTCCATAGCTTTGTCTGCGAAACATGTTTAGTTCTTATTTGTTTTTATGAAGCATGTAAAGAATCACTATCTTCATATTTGATTTTGTAAAAATCATGCATACATCGTATTGATACAGAGTGGCAAAACGCATCACGTACTCTGAGCTTGAAGCTCAAGCAAGGCGAGCAGCTCCTAAGATATCTTAGTCCAGATATAATCAGTGCAGACTGAAGTTACTATGTAGTGATCAAGTTACGGCAGTGCAATTGACCTGCTCTGGCTCAGTTACCGTGGAACAAGATCAAGATAATGATGTATTTAAAGGATGCATGAAAAAATTCAATGTCGAGCCTTTTTCTTGGTACCTTGCTAAAGCCCGGAAAAAATTAAAACGGCTTGTTAAACAAAATATCAACACTTTCGAAGTTAAACGAGAACAAGAACTAGAATCTAAACGCAGGGCACTTAAAGCCCGAACACCTGTGGCTATACAATATAATTAACACTAGGTACCTAGATAGCTATGATGGGTGGTAGCGGTAGTAGTATATAATATTATAATAACGCATATATACTTACGTTCATGAGTATTTGGTTAAGTACTTCACATATTTATTAACGACCTTAAAGAAGGCGGAGTTTCGATTCGACTACGTTTTTTTTCTTTCTGTTTTTATTATGTAATTGAGTATTTGACGCGATTTCTTCGTTAAGTGTGGATCTATTTTGATAAAAAAAATTATTAAGTAGTTTATATTCCAGCTTTCTTTCTTTGTCTTGCTAGATAGAAACTCACGAGCTACGTGATATTATCATGAGCCTAAAATCAAACAGTGCTCTTGATGGGATAATATTCCAGCGCACTTTCAAAAACTAGCAGTAACTCAAATTACTCCTATGATCTGTATCTTTGTAAACCTTTGTTTTGAGCATGGCGTTATTCCTCAACGTTTAAAACAAGCTATTATAACACCAGTGTACAAGAATGTGGATAGAGGTGATGTTAGCTACTACAGACCTATTTCAGTACTATTTTCGATTTCTAGGATATTAGAAAAACTTAGCAACACAAGATTTTTAAGTTATCTTACTAAGATATCATGTCTAACTGTCAGTATGGATTCAGGCAAGGTAAATCCACTGAAGATGCAACTGCAGGATGCAGCTGCTCGTTTATGATTAACAATTTAGATCAGGGTAAAAAATGTCTTGCACTTTTTCTAGACCTGAAAAAGGTCTTTGATGCTATCTCTGTCCCCATCCTTTTACAAAAATTAGAATCCATCGGCATAAGAGACACAACCTTGACAGTGTTTAAGAACTACTTATTAAACCGTACACAAAAAGTTAAAATAGATCAGTTTATTAGTGAGGACACATTATACCACTTACGGGGTAGCCCGCAATGTTGGGCCTAAAATACAAGGTAGTATTTTAGGCCCAACATTGTTTCTAATTTATATCAATGATATTTGTATTCTGAAAATTAATGGTGCCCGTGTGTTCATATATGCCAATGACGCAGCTGTAGTTTTTACTGGAGCATCATGGGATGAGATTCGTAAAATACAGAATCTGGCCTTACTAAAATTGCAAGCTGGCTTCTATCTAACTTTTTAACGATTAATGCACTTAAAAATAATTATATTTGTTTTACTATTAAAAACTGGGCTTAACCAGGAAATAACTTTAACATAAAGATTCACACTTGCAATATTGACAAAGTTCAAAATTGTAACTGTTCTGTCATTACGAAAGCTTCTTTAACCAAGTACTTGGTGATCATTATAGATCAACGTTTAACTTGGCATGAACATATCGATGTACGATAATAACATGTAGATTTAGAAAACTAGCCTTGATTTTTAAAACGCTTAGACATATTACTTCAGATACGCTTATTAACAATTTATGTAGCATTAGCTCAATCGTTAATAACTTACTGCCTTCCGATATGGGGTGGTGCAACAAAAACAAAATGGTTGCATTTAGAAAGAGTTCAACGTGCCTTAGTGCCTGACATTGTACTTTTTGTCTAATAAATTTCCAACTAAAAGCCTATTTAAAATCTGATGTACTAAGTATAAGAAAATTATATATTTTACACACAATATTAAAAAGCATAAAGGTTTGATTTTTGACCCAAATATTTTGAACAAAAGAAGAAAAGACAGTACTTGACTCATTTTGTGTTAAAACTGCATTCGCTAGATGTTAGTTCATTAAGCAATCTATCTATCTATATAATTTTGTCAACAAAAAGTTTAATATTTACTGTAGAAATACCAAGGACTGCAAGTTTTTGATTATAAATTGGCTAAAGACACTGTCTTACGAAAACACAAAAAAACTTATATGTAATAAATATTTTTGTTTGAATAATTTAATACTTTTTCTTTTTGTATAATATAATATAATCTCATGTCTTTAGAACGTTTTGTATGGCTATGGAAGAGCGGGAGGGAGTCTCTGACACAAGTGCCTTAAGGTACTTAAAATATGCTCCATACCCTATGCAAATTATAAAATACCAAATGAAATTTAAAAAAAGATTATTTAAGGGGAGGTCTTAATTAGTTTGGAAAAAAATTCAAACCAAAGGCTGGCATAATAGAGAATGAAGGAAACAGACGAAATCGAGATTGTAAAATTATTTAAAGAGAAATTAAAAAGAGAATGATGAGAGTGTAGTTTTTCAGTTTAAAAAAAAAAACCTTTTTTTATTATATTTTTGCATTGTCATCCAAATTTGAGCTATATTCAAAATTTCAAGTTTTGAACTCATCGGGAAGTTAGTTTTAAATCAATTACTAAATTCTACCCAATTACTAAGTCTAAAGAAAGAGACTTAATAAAAACGCGGTAAAATGAACTTTAAAAAAAACCAAAAAGAATAAAATAATTATACAATATGTACAGCACCACCTTCAGAATGTAAAATTACTTCATTTTGTTAGTTCTTCAAAAGTCTGCTTTAACTATTAAAAATTAAAAGTTATTTTGTTTTTTTCTGTCTAGTGTCTACCATACTTCGATTACGTTTACGCAACGTCAATGGTCTAATGGTCGCCACACACGGTCAGTTCAACTGATCATTCCAACTGATCAGTTCAAACTAAAACTGTTGATATTCTTTAAAATATCGGATTTTCGGTATACATCGATAAATAAACTTATATATAAAACTCATATATAAATATATTTATAATAATCGCTATATCGAAAATTCAATATTTTAAGAAATATCAACAGTTTTAGTTTGAACTGATCAGTTGGAATGATCAGTTGAACTGACTGTGTGTGGCATCCATAACTCTAACCAAACATGTTTTTGCTCTCATGCGATCCTATCAATGTAAAGCTTGTTTGAATAAGATTAGCATAAAAAGCCTCTTAATAAATATTTACAATATTTTTGATACTTATAAGTATTCTTGATTTTTCTTTTCTTTTAGTTCAGTTGGGTTTGATGTTTAATAGTATTTAATCTCTAAGATACGAGGAATGCTGTTGTGCTAAAATACATAATATAAATATACAAAAACATATATAAATATTCATGACTCATAGCTAATTTATATGCTTTTTTTATTAACCATGAGCCGTGAATTATTTTCCTACAGCCTATGAAATTTCCTCTGCTGAAAATAGGATTCCCCCATAAATTATTTGATTATTGAATTTTTTTTGTTGTATATTAGGAAGATGATGTCCATCCCATGTTTCAGTTTCGCTCTGTCGCCTCTTACGACATCCACGGGACGATATGGAGTAGATTTTCTTACACCATCACCACACGGTCTGCGCGATTCGTTTTTAATTAAAGTAGAAAACGACTATTTTTACCATTAAGCATTTTTTTATTGTTTATTAACATGATTGTATGTAATCATTTCAGATAACATCACGCCATGAGAACCTCGGTGCCATCGGCCAAATATAAGCCTTCCATTGCACGTGCGGCTCCACCGGAAACGGCAATCACTTTACCTCGATTCATGTTCGATTTACGATTTATTGCAAACGTATCGTTTACAGTAGCCACAGTTTAGTTGTCTTCGACTTACGGGCGACATTGTATCGAACTGGCTGCAACGATAAATTTGTATGTCGGAGAGTTCTGATTGCTAAATCGTAATCGATACCTACTAACGTACATCGATTTGTCACGAACGTGACAACTTTCGAATTACACATCTAATACGTTTGATTCTAAATATCTGTAAGCCTTGTAAAATCTTTAAACTTATCGCGAAATTAATGATAAGTTTTTGGGATTGTTTCTTTATTTTGATGAAATAATTATTGTTCGAAAATTATATGGGTTTTAATTAAAATAATTTCTATAAGTATATGCATAAATGTTAAAATTTTGTCAAATGTATTAGTTATCATAGTATTATAAATGTTAGCAACGATGAAGTAAACTTATATAAACATATTATCCACGCAACGATTTGAAATGTGGTTATTTAATCTTCGATCAATCAATTTAATACAAATATAGTAAATTATTAACGAATTACCAAATATCTTTCTCTTTGACAAAAGTAGTAAGTATTTAATTGGTGGAAACAATATCTCATATAAAGTAAACACCGGGTAAGAATATTTTAAGAATATACTCGTTATATCAATCTTTATGTACCTGTTTTGAGTATGAGTATAATATGCGTAAAATAAAAAAAATATCATAGGCAACAATTAAAGTAGATAACAGTAAAGATTTTTAAATCGAAATCATTTACAGAAATGTAAATTTCCTTACAATGCTGTAATTAAAAATCAAACGAAATCAAGTTAATTGATCGTGAAACGAGTAACTAATTGCCTTTGATTTTAATCGATTCTACATTCCTATAACTAAGTTGTTAGTACCTACATAATTATTTTTATTTGTAATTTCCTTTAAATGACCTTGTTGGTTCATCAATGGAACGAATTTTGAAATGATTAGTTTTTGTAATTTAGTATTTTTAATTTTTTCTTAATAATGTGTTACCTATGTAAACAGATTCCATTTTAATTTTGATAGGGCGCTACCTGAGATCGATGACGAATAAAAACTTTATCACATTTTACGGTTAAGTATATATGTTACATACATATACGTCTTAAAAGGTTGTATAATGTAAGGAAAGATTATGATAGACACTGCTCAGACATAGAAGGAATTATAAGAAACATAGTGTATCTAATAAGACCTAAAGTAAACACATTTTATTATTTAAGGATGTAATCATACTGATGTCAGTCGATTATAAATAGGTAATAAAACGGATACACTGAAAGTCAAAATCAATTATCAGTGTCATTACCGAATCAGAAAAATAATGTTTTCATCTCTCCTTTTTACAATATGATTTAAATAATAAGACTTTCTTATTATATCGTCTTTATAGAATTAAGGATCGAGAAAGAGAGATCGATTAAACATAATTCGGTAAAGTAGGAAGTTGAAATGTATTAAATGCAATATTTTTACGTTAGTTAAGTGATAGTTTTATCATAAATAGTTACGATACTATTCTTCCCATATAAACCGATGGACCGATGAAATTTACACCAAATATGTTTAAAATTAATCAATTATGTAGGTATATTAGTTCTGTCGCAAATAACACTTAGCTATTATTTTATATATTTGTGTCGTGGCATTGCTTTCATTTTAAACTTTAACTAAAAAAAATCGAGGAATTTAAGGTAAAGTATTAAGTACTTCATTTAAACTTTTTAATTTATATTTATTTGAGCGCGTTCCTTTTACGTCGTAAGTTTTTATTTAGTCCTTTCTTGTAATTATTCATAGAGAAGTTTTCGGTCGTTCCGCCAACGAATTATAATTTTTATTTTGTTCAATACTGTGTGAAATCTTTTGTGAAAGTTACTTTCATAATTTTATTGTAGCGTAATATATATCTCTTTTATCATAAATGAAGACGAAGACCATAGTGTAATAATAATATTTTCCGACAAAGATAATCTTTTCTCTGGTCTTCTTTAGGAGTTATATAAATTTATCTTTTTTTTATTGCTGAAACCAATAAAACCTCTTAGTAAAACAATATTTTTGATAACTAAAATACTAGAAATGGTAATGTATATTATGTGTTCATATGAGTGATTCCACTATTGGTTTCACAGCTGACACGATCAAATTGGTATGTGAAAGTAAACAAAATAAGTAAAAGTTTATTGAAGGATAACTTGAAGCAAATGGGATTTACCCATTAAGAGTCAAGCACTTAAAATATTATCGAAATATATAATTTCGTTAATACAATAAAAAATAGAGATCCTTATATGTTTTTATGTTTTTCCATGACCCAAAGATAAAACCTCTTTATTACTTTGGCTATGGCATATCTTTTAGTATCGGATTAAAATAATCAATATACTTACTTTTCTTTTAAAGATAAATGAGGCGATATAAATAATGATTTTTCCATAATAACTTTAATTACTTAACACAAAATATAGATTAAATGGCATACATATCACAATTCGGTTGCCAAACCTTACTTAAAGCTTAACATTAATAGATAATAAGAATCTAATGTAAGATATCTAACGTGATAGAGTCACGTTGCAACTAAATTATGGTTGCAGCACGAGTGGGTCGACTCGAACGGTGAACAATCACACTCGTATGGAATACATCACACTCTTATGGAATACCAGCTATAAGCTTTCATAGTAAAACAGCACCATAATCTTAGCAGTGTTTAGTATGGAGAGAGTTGAGAACCGAAGATTTTTTTTACTGGTAACAAGCCACACTATCTTAGTTCTCAACGGCGGCAACACATTCTACATATTGATTTTCAGTCGAGGATAGATCAGGTGGACTGTGAGCTGGTCTGTCACCATTATTTTTTAAAAAGGCCATTAGTTTTAGCACGAAGTTTTCAGATTAAAAAGTTATCATCACAACATGTAAGCTTTCAATATTTTCAATCACCACACTAAATCAATAGCTTTTTTTGTATATAGGGCAAAGGCTTTATCAGCGATATATCCGATGTTACGTTATATAAAATATTACTTTCAATTATCAAATCAAAGTACATAATAGAACCTCATATTAATTAAATTCTGCGCGTATGCGATTTGTACATAAGAGTTTGTACAAATATAGATGGATAATAATAACTTTTAAACTGGATTAAGGAAATGTATAATATAGGTAGGGTTGTTTCTGTATTTTTATATTAACTACATTTGTTTAAATACGCATCTTTTAAATATAACATGTTCATACACCATATTGTTTTTATATATATAGTATTATTAAGTTCAAAATAAACACACGTGACATGTAAATAATAAACAAAGTTTACATTCCACATGAAAATATTTTAGGCTATGCGTGCCATTAATTTTACACTGTATTTAATCTATATCGTTTAGTTATTGTTAAAATATTGTAATACATATGTACCTAATGCTATAAAACATTTTTATTAAAAATTGTAATAACAAATCGATACATACATAATTATTTATGAAGCTTTTCCGCGGTAATTAATATTTCAAGTCTCGAAGGTAACAACGATGTATTTTATTAATAATGTTTGTTTACGTACTTTTTAAATATAGTCTTCAATTATGTACTTAAAGGTTTTTATTTCGGTTCATTGATTTTTCAGCTCTGAGGAATTGTCGTTAAATAATTGTTTGGAGTCGTGGTACTTCAAGGGTTAAGCACTCGCATTTCACAGTATGTGAGCAACCCGGGCTTTATCTCCGCCGCGCCGGTACCAATGAAATTGTTAATAGCAATTTCAAGTGATACAAAGTTACGGCGCTGGGCCACCTGCAGCCATCGACTGCCTGTGTGTTTTTTCAAGTCGTCCCTCCATCTAGCGAGGGGAGGGGAGAGTTCGCCAATCTCTACTAGCCTCCTTAATTCAAGACGTTACGTGATACCAGCTAACTGTACAAGCTGTTAGACGTGGTAGAGCCATGCTGCAATTATATTAGTAGTATAGTTGTAGCACGAATGGGTCGGCTCGACCGGGGAAGGACCACGCTCTCACATACCAGCGTAAAATAGTAGCATAATGCTGCTGTGTTTCGTATGGTGAGTATAGAAAAACGGAGACCCTTTTTACTAGAAACGAGGCATTCCACCTAAGTCCTCACGGATGACAACGCATCTGCATTGTGATTCGTAATCGAGGATGCATGCAGACGTGTATAGGCCACAGCAACCACTTACCATCCTTCTTCATCCTTCCATCATTATTTATATACTAGCGATCCGCCCGACTTAGCACGGGTGATTTTTGGATGTCGACAACTTAAATGCATGTATTATACATATAAACCTTCCTCTGGAATCATTCTGTCTATTGATGAAAACTGCATCAAAAGCCGTTGCGTAGTTCAAAAGATCTAAGAGTACAGACGGCGGGAAGCGACTTTGTTTTATACTATGTAGAGATAATAGTTAAAATGGTGAACTTTTTGTTGTGTTAAATGTTTACCATTATGTTACACTTTATAAAATAATATTTTCAGAATTTTTCTATATAATTCTTCGCATTAGATCTTAGTCCTCACGGGTGACAACGCATCTGCGTTTTGAATCGTAATCGAGGATAGCTGTAGATGTCTATGGACCACAGCAACCACTTAGCATCAGGTGGACTGTGTGCTCGTTTGTCAACCTATCCTAGTCTGCAGTTTGTGATCATATCCTAGACGGACCCAACCATTACATCAGATTTGATAGACCACAAATCCTCGGGAAAGAACCCCGATTCCTACCAAGGATGATACGTGAGGCTATTGAAATTAAAAAAACATCCTAATTTCAATAGAGAAGGAGGCTGGGTACTACCTCCTGCTTGGGATCCTATAATCAATAAAATTAAAACTAAACCCAAGCATACCACTG